ATAGCTGACAACAAAACATTTGGAATATGTGTTCAATACAATTTCTTTGTCCGGTGCGATATACGGACCGAAAAGACCTTTTGTTTTTGTGTACGTAATTGTATATATGTGTGTACATGAAGCGTGAGACATATAATTACTTCTCAAAAACCTGTAATATTGATTATATAGCAAGGTGAAAGTCACCTTTTCTATAAAAGCAAACATTTAGCTAAGTGTAAACTCATTTATCCAAGGTTGTTTTATCAATTACAGGATGTATGTTATTGAAAAGTCGATCTCTATTGAAATGCTGTGCTATTTGTAAATATGTGTGACTATTGTGTAGGTACCTAGTAGTTTGTATTGTCTCGTCATCAGACAAGGCTTGACGTTTGATACGGAGTCAGAGTTGTATGGGTAAAGTTGTGGGTACTTCTATTGATTCTGGGTTACAGAGCTATTTTGGTGTTGTCGCTCCATTGGTACCTGTGAATTGAGCCATTATTGTTGTATGGCTGGGATACGCAAGGCTAGTTACAGGTGTCACAAGGGGGTTAATTCTCCATTTATTTCACTTTCCTTCTCGTTACACTAATATTAGATGTTGCGGTCCACTTCAAGTCGGTATATCTCAATCTTCTACCTGTCTTGGGTCAATTATATAAACCAGAATTACCTGTCTCCAACGTTTGATCTTCGTATTGATTACAGGTGAGAATCAATGTTCAAACACCCACGTGCATTGACCCATATACACAGCCGAACACATTATAAATGGGTGACTATCTAATTATTCAATGACCTTGTTAAATTTGAGTGTCGTGTACAAATGTCTAAATGACAAGTCATGTGATCTTATTTTTCCAATGTTTTTCTGTGACTGTTTGACATGGGGTACTTACTATTTTATGTTGAAGTGAACTTGTTTTTGATCTTTTTAGTTGTACTTCCTCTAGAATGTCATATAAATGTGTCCAAATTGATGAAAATCTTAAGTTATAAGTCTATTTTAGTTTAAGCCAGGAAGTCATATTCAAAACAACGACAGGTCAAGGTAATTTTAGTTATCACCAGATATAATTAAAGATAAATCTATAACAGTTCAAGGTCATTATATTTGTCTGCTGATGTATGCAGACTTTTCATAGGTCAAGGTAATTTAGCTATACCCTTGTGTATACTATATACACAAATTTCTCACAGGTCAAGGTCATTTTACAGTCATCTCCAGAGATTTTTATGGCAACTGCATTAAGCTTTGTCATTTCCAATTCAGCAGTTACATATACAAAGCCCCCACAGGTCAAGGTCATTTAAGTGTCTTCAGAGATTTCTACAGCAACTATATCATAGGTCAAGGTATTATACAAAGCTACCACAGGTCAGGGTCATGGTAGGTGTATCGGGGTATTTTTTATACAAACCTGTCACAGCTTGAGATCATCTTAGTTGTCTCCACTGGGATTAATTATATACCAGGTAAAAACATTTCACAGATCAAAGCCATTTTTTTGTTTTTTGTAGAATATTAATGTTGGGTTCTGATATGTCGATGATACAGTTATATCATTAGCAGCAAAATCTCACCAACTTCATAAAGGAATAGTTAAATTGACATTACAAAGGTAATCTACCTTGAGAAATGATTTTTCATTAAACTAAATGAAGTAAAACAGTATCATGCAATGATGCTGACATAACACTTAACAACCTGACTGTGCTTGGTTCCCCCGGAGGATCGTTGATTAGCGGTGGTTTACCTTGTACTGGAGGTGGATTTGTTCTATGTTGCGCTATAGTGGTCGTACGTAAGGCAGGATACAGGCGATATACGATAAAGAAACGCATTAACATGATATACCACAGATACCTATTGAAACAAGTAGTCACTTTAGAGTTAACTTAAAATGGATTTTACATGTTCATGGTCTATGTGCACTATCAAAGAGGAAGTACAGCGTCTGGTTAGGGTTATTCATTGATGTAAATGAAAATGCATTCAAGATGTATGCAGGTGCATCATGCGTGATGTTGTTATTTTGATATAGCCCATGTAGGCCTGACGAAAGGGTGTTTTCATGGTCACGATGTTGCCTTATATAGATAGTGTAGGTTTAAGAAGAACATGGAAAACAATATACGCGAACATGATTTGTGTCGTTACATGTTCAGACCGCTAGGAGGTGTCTTTTTAGGTGGATGGTTTTGAATAATTTCCAGACAATATTTAGCTGACACTGGCGAAACCAAAGTTGCTGATATAGTGAAGGATAACCAAAATGCACCTCAAAGACATTTTGAAATACACAAGTTGGATAGAAAAAAAATACATGTCACGATATTGGCCTTTGAGATCCCTTGTAGCTTGTGCACAGCTTATAGCAATTTATAGAAGATATAAAAAAAACCACGACTGGGTGTTTTGAGTCTGGCATAAGCGTGTTAGGCGTTTCATATTCAAATGTCCTTGTCCAGCTGTCTCTGTTGCTGTAGTGGAACGCGAGCAGTAAAATAACCTTCCCATTAAATATGAATGATCTTATTCTTAAAGCTCTTGTCGTAAATACCTTTCACCTTTACAAATATCAATAATAGGGACATTTATCCATGGCAAGTGACAGCTGTCCGATTTGTAAGCGCTACTGAATTCACGAATAAAACGTAACGTTATGAAAAGATACAGTCATAGTGTCTTGAAATTGATATGGAGACTGTAGCTTTGAGGTGGTGTACATTTGTTTACGTAAAGCCTGCAGATATTCCTAGTTTGTGATATGACGTATCTTTGGACATCACCTGTTGGATAATAAATATAACACTTTTATTGAGGGATTTGGTTTCCGAAGGAAAACACATAGGCCTGGCAAGTGTGTTTTAAGACCCAATTTCAGCCTAGATGAAGTACCATAGCATGTATGAGGATATTCACTACCAACTTTCACAAGGGTAGTCATTTCGTGAGGAATAAGCGCCACCGTTTCTACAGTAGGGCTATTTCCTGGCAGTTTTATGGTTATGACACAATTGGTACCTGTGATTAACCAATGGAATGTCATGGTGGTGATGTATAGGGACCAATCAGAGGGCTACAACTCTTTGTTCTGTGCCGAGGTGTTAATTTACGATATTGCGGAGGTGTTGAGTACCGTCCTGGAGTGACCTCTAATTGTAACCTTGCATGCTGGCTAGCTGATGAAAAGGCAACTATAACCGACTTAATATGTAGCGTAAGGCGATTTAATGGAATGAATATTGGTAATGATACAGCCATAGCAAGGCACCAGTGCCGGAGTACAAAAGGTCTTTATCATCAGCGGTATTGCATCTGGAATGTTGATTAGTGTGCTGAACATTGTGAAGAGCTTCACACCAAAGGCCAGATAATTTGTCACAAATGCTTTAAAAGACTCCCTTTTTAAAGTCAACATTCCAAATAATGATCCAGAATTTCAACATCGCAGATAACTGTTTTCTGAAAATTCCAGGTGGCTAACTGTGGAATCTTGATATGGTGATAGGGATTTCACATACACTTACAGCACGGCTTGATACCGAGGGGAATCATTTTCCATAGGAAAGAAATTACTTTCTTATCTTTACAGCAAATTAACTTTTCTTTATCGGACATCAGGAGTTGATTAAAGTGATGTGCACTTCAAAAAACTAGATTATTCAGAATGTGACATATATACACCAGGTCTTGAAATACTGTCTTTCAGATTGATGTATGATTCCTATAGAGGTGGCCCGTTTTGTTTGCCTGAAGCATTGAAGGAGAAGAACCAGATTCGTTGGTGGTATACCTAAGTGTATACATTTCTATTCCAAACAGAAAAAACAGAGATGGTCAGATGAACAAAAGAGGATCCTTATTGAAAACAGCTGAGGCAGATTATGAGAATAATTTGTGAACTTGATAGGGAACTGTTTACACTATAATGAGCTGGGGAGCAGAACAGACCAGTCAATTTAGCACATTTGGTTCCAGAAATCCTGCCCTTCCTGTAAACACCTTAGACAGGATCATGTTGGGTATAAAGTGTTCCATAATGCCTGTGGTCAGTTATTGGTGGAGAATTTATATTTAGACTGGTCACTCCGAGTTCAGTGACAGTTAGGGGTGTTATTTATAAGAATGATATAGAACTTGTTTAAGTCCAATTTAGATAAAAATGTATGTGCATGATCTGTATAGAATTCCAATGTCTTATAGAATCTGGTACTTACCAGATGGAAAAAGCTGAAACCAGAGACGGTCACTCAGCCGACTGTTTGATTGACTATATCTGGTCTGTAGTGTAGAGGTATGTGTTCATACCGACCAAATTAAACCAAAAACCTTATCATCTGGGTTTGATGTAACAGTATACTGTAGCAGACTTAATTTGATAAATATATCTAGATTGTTTGGAAGAGAAATGTAATTGACAGGTATTTACTGCCTATATATCACTAGAGGGTAATTACCAAATGTTCTAGACCATTATACTGTGTTTACTAGGATCTTCATACAACCCAATACAGATAAACTTAATTATATATCAAAATCAATGTGGCTTATAATATATGCCCTTGGAATGGTTTCTGTATAATAAACACTGATGTCAATACACATTATTGGCCAATATATATTTTTACCTAGTTGTCCCCAACACCAGGTACACACCAGAAGTGCTATAATTTGTGAGGTAGTTCTGTAGGTAATCATATGTGCATTTATCAGCGAGTTAATGACCGACTTTATGGATTTGTATACACCTGTTCACTAATTGTTTAGCGAACCGATTGATTTCGGGTAGATTTACTATATAATGTTACGAGACATGATATATTCAAATGAGATAAGGACTTCGTGCTTGACTGATGAAGAATGGCATATCAACATTGCGTAAATGATGCCGACAGGACATTAAAGATGTAGATTTTTACTACCTGGGTTATGCATTGATATTATCGACTATATATATCAGGAGTTAAATTGCTGGTGCAGAAAGTGTAGTTGTGATAATTGAGATCTAGTTGGATTTATAACACACGAAAAGAGCAGGAAATCTACTGTAATAGAAAGTGACGATCGGAACATTGATTCCCCGTCCTCACACTCTTGATTCATTGTGTGGATGTTGTGAAAAAAGTCTTGGATTGCAAGCTTGGAAAATTAGATCTTCGTTGGTGACATTGACGAAATGAGGTTGTGATTCTGGAGGAATGTACGGGGATAACAATGGAAAAAGAAAATAGTTTGGAGTCCAAAGATTAGGATCAGGCACCCCATCTGTCACAGGCGGTCACACATGGTATCGGTCACCCTCTGATACATATGATACATACAGTGAGGAGAGGGCACCTTGACTGGGCTATTATGACTGGCTAAGAGGATAACTAGGGCTAGTTAGAGGAGAATTACTGAGAGCAGCGGGGGAAGCGATCTCCTTACACCTCTTTCATTACCTGTCAATGTTATAAGTAACAGAGGATTCTTGGGAGTAGACCGTTTGCTATAGATATAGTGTTCTGTATAACCCTGGTGAGAAATACCTGAGGGTTTCCCACCTGACTTCTCTCACCTGTACCTGTAACACCTGTGTGAGGGGATTATGAAAATACACAAGAAGACTTGGAAGCAATGCAGTTTCACTAATAATATCAACAAGTGTTGGAATTTCCAGTAGAGACCACCAGAGAAACTGTTTGAATTTGGGACTTGAAGCCAAAATTCTAGCCAGTCTTGTAAACTGTGTAATATATACTTGACCTAATGTCAGAAAACTAAACAGTTAGCAGTGGAGGATAAAAGATAATCAACGAAGGAGGACTTTTATCAAATTTGATGGATTACAATAACAGAAGGGGGAACAAATTATAACAAACCAATTATGTTCTTTCAGTTTTGGCTTTAGAAAGACTGAGTGTCAGAACATTAGCTTTATAGAAGTGAGTTCTGTTCTATAGCAGTTAGATACGCACATTTACAAAGGAAATTTAAACACTTCAATATTTTTGTGCTTTATCTATTCATTGATCTTTAGCGTGCATGTAGAAGTCAGTATCGGAGTATACACTGTACACATGCTAGCAAGTGAATTGAACAATGAAACACAATGTTTGTCTAGCTTCTGGTGGTACTCCACAACAGAACTCAAGTGGTACCCAAGTATCCCAATATGTGTAAAACAGCACATTCCCTTATTGACTTCCTTTGTGTTGAACACCCTAGACAGTGACCTGGAGTCAAGCAGGTCCTCGGCACCAGATTACATGGCACAGGAGCTTGTCACTGGCACTTATGGTCTACCCTTGTCTGGAGAGGGTATCTAACTTCCTCAAGTAGGGTTAATTCCCTCAGCAGCTTGCCAATAGGGTTTCTCTGAAGAGGTTTAAATCTTAAAACTGTGTGACCCATACAAACTAGAAGTTGGTTTATGATACTTTAAAATGTGTACACTTCAAATGTGATGAACAACATGTAAGAATGTGAATGTGAGAAAATTGAGCCGATTTTGTGGGTGAACGAAGAGCACGATTCCTTATTCTACACATTTATGGATGAAAGTGTGTGATCTTGTATTTCATACTTCATATACGCCGAGCAGAGCTTGAAATGAAAGCATTTTCATGAGCAGTGAATAACATTTTTTTTTTTGCTGAAGGAAAGAAACAGTTTTATCTCTTTACTGTGAAGTAGGCTGTGTAACGCTGAGAGAAGTTTGGCATGGTGGTGACCTGTATCAAAGAACAATGTAAAATGTGATCCTGCGATGGTAGACTTACTCCATAGTAGCTGAGAGCTGGCGATAGGGGCTGGACCTTTGACAGAGCTGCCGTGTCTAGTGGTTCGGCTTATCTTGGAGCGTCTCACCACCCCTTTCCCTGACAAGGAACTGTTGGTCTGTAGTGGAAGTTGTCGGACTCTTCAGGCTTCCTGCTGTTTGGCAGACCGATTGCTCTATTTACTTTACAGAATAAGTCATTATTTAGGTTTTACTTACCTTAGAACAAAGTCGGGAAGTTGTATTTTCTACCGAAAAAGGACGGATAATCTGGCTTCTTTGAAATAGAATTGACAAGTTTTCTGAATTGTACAATTGTGAATACATAGCGATTGGTAGATGATAAATATTTAAAAAAAACATTTTTTTTTTGGAGAAAATTAAGGATTCTGATAAATCTGACAACTTCATCAGACAAATCAGATATCCAGCAGGGTTACTTTTTGTGAATGTAGAAAATCTCATAAACGTGTTATCCAAGTTGCAGATAAGTTCGTTTACGTCTAAATAAGCAGCAACTAGACGGATGTAAACACGACTGGGAGGTTATCTGTATGATAGGTGTTCATCATTGGTGCAAACCTTCGATTTATTAGCCAGCAGTGTTTATTAGCTGTTCCTGCAGGCTGTCCAGGAGTAGCAGAATTATTGTCCATTGAAGTGGAACATTGGCTGTGTCCGTCTGTCTCTGGAAGGGCCATCGGGGGAAAAAAAGATTGTGATTGGATATTTAAATGCAGCATCAGAGTAATTTGTTGTGTCCTTGGTATCATTCCGGACTATAAAATCTTTCTGTTTGAAAGGAAATCTACCATGACATGTTTTAATAATTGTTATAGTGTCAGAGGTAATGCAGTGAATTAATTGTATGGATATTTCACACCAACTGGATATATACAGTAATACAAAAGATTCTCATATATGGAGTAATGTAGTTTTGTTATTACCAACTGATTTTTTTTAACAAAGATCTATGAATTTAGGATGTTGTAGTGAAGAATATTTGACATAAAAGTTTGATCTCGGCAACAGTTTAATATATCACAACCTGGGATACATTTCATATTCTGGTTTTGGAATCTGCCACACTAGCATAAAGATCCGTCACGATAATTTGTAACTTTACACAAGATATGAGCCTCTTTTTTGTCCTTGAATGACTTATGAGGGACGAGACGAGACGAGAGACTCGTTTTTATCGTGAAATGATCGGATATAAATCTTTGCCACAGCTGCTGATTACCTATATGATGTGAACTGGTGAAAACTAGTAAGTGGTGTTATGTCACATGCTGTACTGGTGTACGGGGATACATGTCTGTCAACGTTCGTCACTTGACGCTCAGACAATGAAAAACGTGATTGTCATCAGCAGATGGGATGCAGGAGCCCGGTGCAGCAGCATTGCCGTGGAGGAGCTGTGGCAGCGCTAGCACCAGTCAACAGTCTAAGGGGTGTAGACACTAGTCACACTCCCCTCAGGCTCCGTATCATCTGGACAACTCGTGTTGTACATATGGGGAGTCAACACTCTGTGTCATTACTCTACATCTGTTGATGTTTTCTCACATTCTTAATGGAAAGGTGATACACTGAACCGTGTGTATTATTTATCGTATCCAGATATCACAGGATTTCTACAAATCTTTTTATTGTGAGTTTTGTGTCTAAGAGTACGATTTTTAATCCTGACCATTTGGACCCCTGAATACCTGAGCCACAAAACAGTGAAATGTAACACCTTTTTAGATTTCTCGGAAATTCCTGGACATCTCATTGTGATTGGGGATGACATGGGATATATGGCTTGATTCTTCCTGAGACTGTTTTCTTTATTTCTGGACTTTATGGAATTTCCTTTAGATGAGTGAGATTCTCTGTCATCAGTGTTTATTAGTGGGATGTCCAACTCTCCAACAATAACTGGAAACTGCCACAGATTACATTGTATGTGAAAATTTATTATTGACACTCTGGAATAGGGATACTTTTATGAAATTTTTTGAGTATGGAATTCATACTTTGAAAAGTACTTTTTTTTCATTCCAGATGTTATTGTTCGGAATGGTTGAAAACAAAAACAAGCAACATATATGTGTTGATTGAAGATTGGATAAAAAATTAGTTTTTCCATAACAATTGAAAAGGATTCTATAACACTACATCTGAAGGGTTGTAGTACAATAATACATAATATTGTTGTAAAAGCATTGTGACAGGAACAACATTGATATTGTGGACCATATGATGTTTGGCTCCGTAACCACAATAATATTTAGATAGTGCAACATTAGGATTGTGTAACCTGGAATAGACCCATCAGCCTCATCACTCAGGTGAAACAACAAACGGATCCGACCTCAGACTGAAAACAATAGACAGCATGGATAGCCCTAACACTGTATAACAGGTCTACCCCGACATGTGTTTGTAATGTTCTGGATGATTGGTAGGTAATTGGTCACACTTGCTCCCTGACAGTGAAGTTAGATACACACACTAAAAACACTACCGGTCCTACTACCGCCCCTGGGGCCAGACTGCTGCCAGGGGCCACAGATCCGACTCCTGGGGTCACGTAATGGCCACCACAGCTGGCCGCTGTGGCCCAGTGGTACAGCAATGTGAGGTTGATTGATTGTGTTACGGTTAATATGTGTTATAGTTCAAATTAATTGTGTTGAGAGTGGATGGGAACCTCCCAGTGTGATCTACTGCCTTTTATATACACATACAGACCTACCAAATTGATACTGCGGTACTTGTAGTATTTAAACACATTTTATGATGATGGAATTTACTTGCGGTGGATCATATGATTAGCAGTACTGTGGATAATCTTGTTAGCACATCAGTGGATTATGTGATAAGATTAGCATAGCGTGGATAATCTTGTTATCGCTTGTTGGATTATATATATATACAAGCAAAAAATATGGATTAGTAACATGATTGATTTTTTGTGCTACATATATAATGAAAGTTAAACTCGCTCCATGTGTAATACATTCATTGGAGTACATTTATGTGTAGTTGGAGAGACAAAGGCTGGATAGTTGTGACCATTTGTGATCGGGAGGTTTTCACACCCCCAATATGGTGCTCCTACAGGGTGTGTCCACCACTACCCTGTCCAGCAGTAAAATGTCTATAAACAGCAACGCGTCGGACATGTCCAAGTGCAGTACATTGACCAAAGGGACCAGTGTTTCTGATATGTCTAAGACTAGCACCCTGACCAAGGGTATGTCTTTAGATATTGGCATAACGGACAGTTCTAAAACCGGCACATTGACCAAAGGTCAAGGCCAAGGACATAAATGTGATAAGAAGGACCTCAGCAAGAACTGCAAATGTCAAGTCATCTTCAGGCAGTGCAAAGGCAAGTATAGTTAAAAGTTCTTTGGTAGGATTACAGCTACTGAAACTGGATGTTATCAAAAAATGAAGTGTTACCTGATTTTTGTATCATATTTTGTCCCAAATCGTAAGAATTAAAGAACTTCTGTATCTGCTGTCTGAGATCAGTTTTAGGTGATGATTTTACGTTCATTTTATTCTGTTTTACCCCCATTATACAATGAATTAAGGATGTACCATTTTGCCAACTGTTTACATTACATTTGAACTTTGACCATTGACTTTTGAACTTCCATAGGCAAAATTCGCCGGTAAATGAAATCCAAATGTATAATATGGATATGGGATTGGATGATGTAGAATGTTTGACCTTAACGTTTGACACCAATATCATGATCTTGTACATGATTTCTTAGTCCCTTGCTTCATGTGCTGTGATCCTGATTTTAACCTTTTGACATTTAAATCCTATGGCTTTTGTAGACTTTCTTTGTAAGATCAGGTGGGTCAGATAGGACGGTTTATAGGAAGGATGCAACATGTATACCATGACCTTGACCTTTGCATTGTTATCCTGGCAAAATTTCGTAGTAGGTAGGATGGTTTAATTACTCTGATCATGACTTGTGACATTGTTGTTCTGACGTGGTTGTGCGTTTCCTGCGCGTTTTGGGGAATACGTGTTCTGACTTTGACCTTTGACTCTGTAATCCTGACACATTGCGCAATTCTAGGTGATAGAGGATTTTTATCTGAGGTGAAAGGTTTATCTATAGTAACGTGTGCTATGACGTCAGTGTGTTTTCCTTCATGGTGAATGAAATTTCCTCTTCGATAATGGTAATTAAATGGTCCTCTTAGTTAACACTTAGTACACCAGCTGAGGGAGATGGGGCATGAATTGTGAACATTTGAAAGTTTTCAATTGGATTCTGCTTTTGATATGTTTCTAATAGTTTTATTGCACTGTCTGTACCTAACTTTTATTATGTAGTCTCATCCATTTTAGCACATAACAAATGCTGCATTTATGGTCTATTGAAATATATCAAAAGTAATTTTGGTGTCTGTATTGGTGTCATATGTCATATTAAAATGAACCTGTTTCGATAGACTTGTAAGACCTGCTTGAGGAATATTCTATATTGTACACCGAGAGAAAAAGCTCAAATTCAATTATTTTAACAAGAAATTACAAAAGCTGCAGTGCATTGATTCTTGTAGTGTTATTTTGGAGATATAACAGATGCGTGGTCTATATATAAACACCTCATTCCCTAGCTATTATCCGGACTGGGAAGAAAAAATTAATTCTTGTGAAAACATGACATGTGCCAGTGATCTTCGAATCCTTCTACCACTGATAACTCAAGAGTACTGTAAGATTTATATTCCCTGATTAATCCTCGTAGATGTTTTTCACATGCAAGCTGGGTATATTCATTGTATGTAAATTCATTAGCTTACCCATCGCTTTCCAACATCATTTTCTCGCTTGGGGCTCAGAAATTATTTTTTCAAAATATCTTTTCCAATTATATTACTGATGCAAAGTCCTGTTCTGCGTGTGTGTTGAAGTGGAATTGAGCTATTATGCGATATCTATTCCTGTGTCGAGTAAATTGGTAGACGGAGGCCGTGTAATCCTGAGTTCAGTTATGATACCACAATATTAAGGGCTTAAAGCCGTATCTTTTTTGAAAATAATTACAGGAAAGAAAAAAATGCTGCTTTTCTTGTGGAGGTAATTGATACGTATCATTAATGAACTATGCATGTATAACAGGAGTTTTTGTCATTAGTGAATACACATTTATACATGTATAACAGACACTCTTTGATGCAGCTGTCTAGACTTGGCTCCATTGTCCACATCACCGTTTCATGTCGGTAGACTCCAAAGTTAACTTTTACGATTCTAGTATTTATTATTGTGGAACAGGAACAGATATTTATAACAAAGCTTTGTTACAAGACTGGAAAAAAAAAAAAAAAGTTGGAAGAAAGTGTACAATTTGCCTTTTTGAGTTGATTGTGCTTGGAAGAGATTTGTGTTCTGACGTAGCTAAACCTGTTCCCAAGGTTCTTAAGAGAATAGAAGAGTGATAGAAATTCAAATTATTTCTCCAGTAACAGCAGTACAGCAGACTATACATGTATTTCTTTACACTAGGTCTTATCAAGGGAAATAACTCTGGCAGACCTACAGCTGAGCTCATGCTCAAGTGCACCAGTATGCATCAAATGTATAAAAGTTTTTCAAAGCATGATTTTTTATGGGAGATCATGCTTAATAAACCATTATTTAAAACATTTAGAACTGTGTACCAAGTAGTGAGATAGTACTTCATGAATAATTGTTCAAAATTTTGTTTAGAACAGTGTAACATCATCTTTCTATATGGAATCAAACTTAGTAGTGAGATAATACTTTATGAATAATTTATTTAAAAAAATAAGAACTTTATACCATATTACTGTATCATCGTCTTAAACATAATTAAATTCCATAGTGAGTGTACATCCTTTTCTGATTTGTACTGTTTGTTGTAAGACTTTTGTTATGGTTACCATAAAATCAGGGGAGTTAACCTGCATTTACTTAATGTCTCAAATATACCTGTACTGCACATCTGTCCTTAATAGGATAAACATTGGGAGAGAAATAACAAAAAAGTGAAAACTAATATTTTGTTTTTAGATAGTTTATTAAATCTTTTTCTCAGATAATAGTTAAGTACTTGGATCATAACCAGACTCTTTCAAAGGGTGCATAAGAAATTAAATCATTATCTTACAATTCCTGTTTGAAGATGGGCAGGTCTGCATTATTTTTTTATTAGTAAATAGCTTCAAGAAAACTGGAAATCTGAATAATAGGAATGTTTTGTCTAAACTTTGTTTTGATCTTTCATTTTTTCATGCAGATTATAAGGCATTTGTCACAGATAATTTCCGGTTGTCAAATATCAGTAATATGAATGTTGCCAAATATGAAATTTCCAGGTGTTTGTATTCGTACATATACAAATTACATGGATTATTGTATGGTCGGATTGGTCGAGTGGTTAACACTTGGGCCTTCCACGCAGGAGGCAGGGGTTCAATCCTCAAAGTTGATGCACGCATGGAATATCAGAGAAAGTGTTTTTCTCCTGCCCACACAACTCCAACAACCCAGGTGGAGTATAAAATGGTCTGGGGTGGATGTTGCGGTATCTGAGATGTAGCATTCAAGTGAGGTGGCACTATAAAAGATGTTGGAAGCACGGTCCCACTACAAACAGAACACAATACATCTCCAGCACACAGGCAGGCATACACACATAGGGAGATATTAGCCAGGTGGCATAGGACTAGTAGATAAGGCAGCTCCTGCGAATTCCTCAAAAAATGATATCTTAATTGTATTAATTGTATATCTATGTACTGTAAAGCACTTTTAGAGTAGCCTATGCTAGCTAGATAGGGTGCTATATCAAATATTGTATATTATTATTATTTATTTATTGTTGCTCACCGAAAAGTTCCCAACTTCTCTTTATAAGTAACATGAATGTTCTGACTTTGGAAATTTTTGAATTTCTATATACAAATACCATTGAGAACAGGTTATATATTACTGGAAACCTCTAGATCTGGACTGGCTATATAAACTAATGTCTGAAGTCCACATAGCCGTGGAAGTACTATAATCTGAACCAGACGCAGTATGTTTACTGATGTATCGGTACAGGTGTATCCAATAGACATTGGTACATTATTGGTTGTTTCAGTTATACTTCCACACTGGTTTGACATGTGTACCGGATTTATTGTCTATAGAGGAATATCTTGCTGTGATCACTTAATGTAAAGATCATTGTATATCTGTTCTAGTTCGTCTTAAATATTGTTTTTACCTCTTCACTGAGGTAACACAACTCTGCCATCCTTGGTCACTGTAGACTGGCTGGGTATATAGCTGTTAGAGAGCCTATCTGTGTTAGTTACCATCTTGATGTAGGCGGACTCCCTCCCCACTAACACAAACTGACAGATCCGAGCTGTTTTTACACAGCAATATTTATATCTGACACACACAGATAGCTGTGTATCTCCCTCATTATCCCCCAGAATCTTCACAACCCTCCATCTTGGATTTACTTTGAATTACTCTGGCGAGCTCACAACTTGAAAGGCTGGGGGTATTTAAGGCCACACTGGCCTATCCATCAAAAGTAAGTACATGTACTATCTTTTGTAATGGCCCAACACCTCGGAAAGTCAGTATGTGTGTAAGAGATGTGGCTTTGTTTTAGGTAAATATTCAGGGTGGTGTTTATACTAATGTCAGTAACCTGAGTCATGCTATGATGCTATGTATATATCATGCTGATGACTAGCAAACTTTTGGTTTCTTAAAAATCTTGGAAGTAGAAATGAATCCGGTACAAGTATATTTGTGTGTCGTTATATATGAAGCACTGTTATACAGAATTTTGCTATAGACTGTTTACTCATTAAGCCAGTCATGGTGCTTTCACATGATAATATTCTAAATTGGTACTGCAAATCAACAAACAGCAGTCTCCTTTCAGTGGGTTGTCAATATTACAGTTTATGATTTTGACTACTGGATATTGTATATGGTTTTGAGCACTGTATATTGTATATGGTTTTGAGCACTGTTGTTGTTTATCATGGTTTTGACATTGTTGTTTCTATGGTTTTTGTTTTCTCTTACTCTCTATGACTTGTAATTTAATTTCTAAGGGTCAGTTCTGTTTTGGTCAGTAACATCAAGTCACTGATAATGGTACTTTGTAAATATTGTTCATGGGTCTTTCCTTTGTATATCAATTTTCCGGTCACATTTGCAACACACTATATGACCACACACAACCGTCATTTGTCATTTAAGAAATCGTCAACTCGGCTGTGTCACTTGCTTAATGTCAGTTCAAAATCCACTTAGTAAACTGGTCCTGTTTCAGTTTGGAAGTTGTTTCATCAACTTGTAGTCTCTCAAAGTTTGCTCAGCTTTTCTGCTCAAAGATGGCTCAGCTTTTCAGCTTCAAATTTGCTTAGTTTTTCTGCTGCATGTTTCCTTTGCTTTTCCATCAAAGATAGCTAGCTGAGCTCTTAATTTACTCAGCTTTTCTGCTTCAAGTTAGCTCAGCTTCTTGACTCAAAGGTTGCTCAGCTTTTCTGCTGAAAGACTGCTTAGCTTTTTTGCTCCAAAGTTTGATCAAGTTTTCCACTCAAAGTTTGCTCTGTTTTTCCACTCTGAATTTGCTCTGCTTCTCTGCTGTAAGCCTGAAACCCTATCAGAATCCAATTTAGCTACGGGTAAGTAATTTTTATCACATCCTTGAAAATATAGGTTGGTAGTTCCACATGAAAAATGGAAATCTTTTTGAGTAGTGAAGGAGATTTCAGTCCGAACCAAATGTTCTGAGTCAGTAACATGAGTGTTAGATATATTTATAAATATGTGTTTCATAGCTCCGGGTTCACGTAACATCTGGTTACTTAATTAAGTGAAATCTAGCACCTGCTTTACACTAACTCATCCTGTGTACTACACATAGAGACTCTTTTGGCACTATGTATAAGGGGCATGTAAGTTCAACATTTCAGCAAAAGAAAGTATTAAAATATTCCTTTGATTTTTTTTTTTTAATCCAGTTTTCATCATTTGGTGTTTCTTCATTATAAAAATAAGGGTATGACTTTTCTGAAAACTTCCGTTTTTCGTTTGTAAGCTTACCAGACTCTGATCACCAGTGTTGATCACTGGAGTTTTAGCTTGCCAGTGTGATGGTGCAGTTTGATAGAAGTTTATATCTGTTTGATCCCGGTCCTACTGGATGGTTAAGAATTCTGTAGATGTGCAGTATGTGGGTTGTATGACGCACACCATCTTAATCTGATAGCTGCTTGCTTCTGATGCTTTTCTTTACTCTGTTACTTTCAGGCTCCATTTAAGTTTTTGAAGCCTTTGTCTCTGTTCTCTTCTAACAGTCCTGATGTTTGTTCTTGGTTTTTTTTTTTTTTTTTTTTTTTTTTTTTTTTTTTTTTTTTTTGTGCTTCGTTAAAATTCTTATATTCATATATATATAGCCTTCTTCCATTTCTTCACCAATCTGTCTGTGTTCAAGGGGACCAAACAATGTGTGAAGGAAATTTGATCTGTAGTTAAATCTTGATATTGTATAAAGGACAGGTAAATACGTACCAGGTAAGTTGAATCCAATCAGTTGATCATCTTGTTTTATAGGCAGACAATCCTTTAAGCTGTAGTCTGTAAAAGTTATCATTTAATTGTTTTAATTCAGTTTTATTTGAACCTTTGTGTGTATCATTTTTGATCTTTGTTTTAATCATTCGCCTAGAAGAATCATGACCATTTTCCTTTAAATACCAATTAGTGTAATGGGTGATACATGTATGCTGCTCTGAAAATGTGGCCTGCATATATAATTACACTGGATCACTTTCCAAATAATGCGATGCTACTGTTTAGAAGAATTAGTATTTTGGCAGAGTACACAGGGATCTCTGATGTCACTAAGTAAATCTCTGAGGTATATAAATAAACAGCCTTTAGTGCTAGGTAATACGCAGTGTCATCCATTCTGTTTGTGTAAATTAATTTGTGTTATTTTGAGGTACCCCCCTTGATGTTTTTGAAATGTTCTTTATTATGTAGAGATTTAATGAAAAGTCAATATTTATTTATGTTTTGGGGCATCCTGTGTGCAAATATGTTTTAGAAATGGCCAAATGCAAGCTGTAGATGTGTTCAACATGCCCAAGTGTAGCTTTAGACTCATCCGAGATTTAGATATGTTTAGAGACTCCCAAAATTTGGATATATTTAGAGATGCCACAGATGTAGATATCTTTAGAGATTTCTCAGATGTAGGTATATTAAGGCTCCCCAGATGTAGATATATTTAGAGATTTCTCAGATGTAGGGATATTAAGACTCTCAACATTTAGATATATTTAGAAATGCCTCAGATGTAGATATATTTAGAAATGCCTCAGATGTAGATATCTTTAGAGATTTCTCAGATGTAGATATATTTAGAAATGCCTCTGATGTAGATATATTTAGAGATTTCTCAGATGTAGATATATTAAGGCTCCCCAGATGTAGATATGTTTAGAAATGCCTCAGATGTAGATACATTTAGAGATGTCCAAAATGTAAATAATGATGCCCCAAATATAGATATATTTAAAGACATGCAAAATGTAAATCTGGTCAGAAACATCCGGGATGTAGATGTGTCAGAACAGAAATGTTAAGAGACATCTCAGATGGAGATATATTTAGAGATGTCCAAAACGTAGATATGTTTAGAAACGTCCCCTCGATGCACACGCCTAAGAAGTCCCAGATGTACATGTGTTAAGAGACGCCCCAGATGTACATGTGTTAAGAGACGCCCCAGATGTAGATATGTTAAGAGACGCCCCAGATGTAGATATGGTAAGAGACGCCCCAGATGTAGATATGTGAAGAGACGCCCCAGATGTACATGTGTTACGAGACGCCCCAGATGTACATGGGTTAAGAGACGCCCCGGATGTACATGTGTTAAGAGACGCCCCAGATGCACACGCCTAAGAAGTCCCAGATTTACATGTGTTAAGAGACGCCCCAGATGCACACGCCTAAGAAGTCCCAGATTTACATGTGTTAAGAGACGCCCCAGATGCACACGCCTAAGAAGTCCCAGATTTACATGTGTTAAGAGACGCCCCAGATGCACACGCCTAAGAAGTCCCAGATGTACATGTGTTAAGAGACGTCCCAGATGTACCTGTGTTAAGAGACGTCCCAGATGTACATGTGTTAAGAAACGCCCCAGATGTACATGTGTTAAGAGCCGTCCCAGATGTACATGTGTTAAGAGATGCCCCAGATGTACATGTGTTAAGAGACACCCCAGATGTACATGTGTTAAGAGACGGCCCAGATGTACATGTGTTAAGAGACGCCCCAGATGCACACGCCTAAGAAGTCCCAGATTTACATGTGTTAAGAGACGCCCCAGATGTAAATGTGTTAAGAGACGCCCCAGATGTACATGAGTTAAGAGACGCCCCAGATGTAGATATGTGAAGAGACGCCCCAGATGTACATGTGTTGAGAGACGCCCCAGATGTACATGTGTTAAGAGCCGCCCCAGATGTAGATATGTTAAGAGACGCCCCAGATGTAGATATGTTTAGAGACGCCCAAGATGTTGAATATGTTATGAGTTGCTCAGCTCTTATAGTTTGACCTCCAGGAGAACTTTGTTAACCGATAGGGTCAGCTCTGACAAACAGAAACATTCCAAAGTGTGTTGTTCCTTTCTTTTGTCTAAAAGATGATGGTATCAGATGTGAAGTGTGTCGTTAGCTGAAAATGTTTTACGTCTCCTGACCCCCCTCCTTGATCCCCCTTAGTTACCCCGTCCCCTGATGTGTTTTTTCTCCCCTCCTCTTCCCCCTCCTCCTCGTCTGACTCCAGAGACACTAATGATCTCGCATTCTCAACTCCACACCTCCTAATCAGGTCCTGGACAAACTGGCAGCAGAAACCAACCATTTTGTGATACCATCTGTGGGACACATCTGTGTAACTTGTTATAAATGTACATGTCAACAAATCAAAAACCTTTTAAAATATGGAGATATGGAAAGCATTGGCGATGAGGGTTCAAAATTTTATGATTTATTTCAAATTGGAATGACATAAATACACATCAGGTTGTGGAAAGCCTTATTTAATTTCTAAGATAAAACAAGTCAAAGTTGATACAGACTTTTAAAATGTTAATATTTTTTAATTGACAAGGAGTTGCTTGATTTCAGTGTTATGTTTGTTTATTTCCTTTATGTCAAAGCCAGGTTTAATTGACTATCCCCCAACACTACAAGAGTTGGATTTATCTTTTCCTAGAGAATTATGCCTAACTTGAGGCCCAATATTGAATGAGGTGGTTTGATAGTAATTTTGACTCATTCAACCGTAGACCTGCCATTGAGTAGGTCGGTATGATGATAACTTTGACGGTTTGATTGCACCCATGCACTGACGCAGATGTACACATGCATCATGCTGGGAATATACACCCCAACTGGTGAGGCTGGAAAGGCACACGCTGGTACAGGGGCTGTTTGGCTAGCCTCATCTTCATCAGCAGTAGCACATGTAAACAAACAGACTTCCTACAGCCTTGTAAATAAGTGTGAATGGTTGAAGGTACCAGAAAGAAGTCATGATTGCGTGATTCTGACATAGCTGTAACCTCACGCCATCTTGTATTTTGCAGAGTTACCATTCGGCTGGGAGAAGGTTGAGGATCCACATTTTGGAACATACTTTATTGAGTAAGTATATTCTTTATTTTATCTCCGTAAAACTTATCAACTTGTATATCTTCTACTGGGTCGATGGTTTACTATTTCACCTACAGATATTTTTAGGTTTTATGGTAAATCTTTTTAAGTCTATAAAGTGCTGTCTGTATGAAAACTTTATTACATGTTTCCCTACCAAACTGGTTAACTCCATCACACAGTTTACTCGATCTGTGTTATGATAACTAAAAACAAAGTGTACACAGTCATTTCAATAGAGTACAAGTGTATAAGATTGTGTTGTATTTGGTTGATAGCACATGCATTCTTATTATGCCAAGTTTTGTAGAAAATTCTTGTAAAAGTTATGTTGAAAACATATGGCAAAATCAGTAAACCTATTTTTGTGTTGATCTGTGTCAGCAGGAGTAAAAACCTAAAACCCTGTTAGCCAACAGTTTATACCACGAGGCCTATAGTTTATACCACGAGGCCTATAGTTTATACCACAAGGCCTATAGTTTATACCACAAGGCCTATAGTTTATACCACGAGGCCTATAGTTTATACCAC